TTTTTAAGGTAATGCAATGATTATAGAATGGTAAAGCTGGATTCGAAATCTTTCAAGTCTGTTTTCCAACAAACTATCACTGGGGTTGTTTGATTGCACTTAAATGTATTGAGGAATCAAAAGATCCCAAAGAATTGTTTTAACTGAGTTGAGGTGTAGGTAGGAAATGATAGATCAGCTTGGATAATTCTATTACAGCATTTATCACTTTTTTTTTTTTTTTTTTTTTGGTTCTTTTTTTTTCTTTTTGAGACAGGTCTCCCTATAGCTCCAAGTAGCCTGGAACTCACTATGTAAACCTGGTTGGTCTCAAACTCACAGAGATCCACTTGCCTCTGCCTTCGAGTGTTGGGATTAAAGGTGCACCAACATGCCCGGCCCACAATAGCATTTTTATTTAGCTACCTGTTTGTAATAACTTACCTTGGCCATTCATATTCTTTTAAAAACAGGTTGGGTATCCCTTTTTTAAGTTTTTATTTCATATTCCCTGACATAATATCTTGTATACATAGCTGCTCTATAAATATTGGAATAAAACTGTAGTCCCATTATAAGACTAATTGTCCTTGAAGAAGCTGGAGGTCCAGCTCCTGTTCTAGGAGTTCTCCCCTTAATGGGCTTAGCAGGGCTGAGTTGTGTCCAGGGATTGCATAGATGTAAAGCCCACAGCTGTCTCTTTTCATCCTCTGAGATCTTGCTGCAGTGTCTATTAAGTGTGGAAGGGGTACAAGCATAGCACTGGCAGTTAGGATTTGTCTTAGTCTTGCCAGAGGCAAAGAAGTGCTGACTGAGATTAATGTTAGTAAGGTGGAAATATCATTGGACTAGAAGTCAGAACATTTCTTTTCTATACCTGGCTGTGCAACTCTCTAACTTTGGACAAGGAACTCTGAACCTCAAATTCATTTACATTATGGGGAGAACAAGTTTCAAGGCTAATGTGAGCTCTGATCTGAAGGGAAATTCATTTTACCTAAAGTCTGAATTTCAGTTGAGATAATTACTGATTTCCCCTCCTGAGCAATTTGAATAATTATTCTTGGGACACCAGGCCAACTGTGCTCATCTATGGCAGGTGCCATCCTGCTCATTTAAACGCTACGCCCTGGGAGACCCAGTGATGGAAACACCTGGAAAGAGACAAGAATGCCTGTTCCTGTCCGACAGTTGAGTGCATCTGTTCTGAAGCACATTAAACTTTCCTTTTGGGAGAGGCCAAATTAAGGTCTGTTATTACCTCTAAAGGTGATAATGTGACCCTGGAGCTTCAGGATTGAGAAGTTAGATTGTCTTAATTTACAGCACAGGGTGGTTTGGGCTCTAACTTCCAGATGCTGCTAATTCTAATTTCAGGTAATTCTACTCTTTAATGACATTGTCATATAACATGAGGCCTCTCAGCTCTTTTTCTAGAATCCTGGAGCAAAAGTCAGTCAGAGTGTGTTAAGTTGGTACAGAAAGAAGAGATTTGCTCTTATTTTAATTGAAAAATGGAAATACTTCATCTATGGGACTCTTTTCACACAGAACAAATTGCTTTGTGAACTTGGGTACATACTTTGTATCTCTGGTCTTGATTTATTTAATTTGAAAAATGATAGGACTGGACTGACTAATCTCTGGTGGGAGCAGAGAGAGAGGAAGGAGAGTGAGAGGGTCTCACTCTGTAGGTCAGGCTGGCCTGGAACCCAGGTTGGCCTTAAATGCAGATTCATGGCAATCCTCCTGCCTCATACCCCCCCCACCCCCTTATCCTAGGAGTTATAGGTGCATGTCACTGTGCCTGGATGGACTAGCTAATCTCTAACATCTTTCTCGAAGTCCTTTCTCTGACTCCACCTTCCTTAATTTTATGTATTTACATTATTGTGCTAGTTCTGGGGAACTGTTTGATCCTAATTTTTCTTTTTCTTTTTGTCTTTTTTGAGACAGGGTCTCCCTGTAGCCCCAGCTGTCCTGGAACTCACTATGTAGACCAGGCTGGCCTTGAACTCACAAAGATCTGCCTGCCTCTGCCTCCCAAGTGCTGGGATTAAAGGCGTGCACCACCGCACCTGGCTCTTTTTTAATTTTTTTAAAAATTATTTTTATTTTATGTCTATGAGCGTATTGTCTGCATGTATGTGAGTGCACCTGTGTCATGCAATGCCTTGGAGGTCAGAAGAGAGCTTTAGATTCCCCTGGAACTAGAGTTAAGGACAGTTCATAGCCACCATGTGGGTCCTGGGAATCAAACCCAGGTCCTCTGCAAGAGCAGTCAGTGCTCTTAACCACTGAGCCATCTCTCCAGCCCCTGATCCTGCTTTTTCATACCTTGTTTTTCTGTGTTCAGCAGGAGCTTTTTTTTTTTGGCTTATAACTTTCTTTATGCTGTGTCTTAGAGAGTTCAGGTGGTTCTATCCCAATGTGCTCATTGAAAAATGAGCAGGGGAGGGCTGATGAGTTTGTTTAGTGAGTAAGGGTGTTTGTTGCCAAGCTGACAACATAGTGGAAGGAGAGAACTGACTACTGCAAATTGTCCTCTGATGTCCTCACACATGCCATGGCACGGATACATGAATACACACACACACACACACACACACACACAAAATGTAAAACAAAAAGAATAGAAACCCAGGTGTAATGGTTTGTGCATACAGTCTCAGCATTTGGGAGGCTAAGGGGCAGGGGGATTGTTAATAAGTTTGAAGTCAGCCTGTGTGTGAGACCCTGACTCAAAAAAAGCAAAAACAATAAATGAATAAACAAATAAGAGAAAACACTCATGGAAGTTTAAAATTTTTTATTCCATCTAGTTGGACATGATGACTCACACTTTTAATCCCAGCACTCGGGAGGCAGAGGCAGGCGGATCTCTGTGAGTTCAAGGCCAGTCTGGTCTACATAGTGAGTTCCAGGACAGCTGAGGCTACAGGGAGACCCTGTCTGAAAAAGACCGAAAAAAAAAAAAAAAAATCAAAACAAAACAAATCTTTTTCCATCTAATATCGAAATGAGTACTGATATTTGGTGAAGTAGGAGGTGTTACCTGGGAAATCAGGGGACCTGGGTTCTGTCCCTCGCTTGATTCTAAGTTGTATACCTTTCCACCACTCTTTTATTTATTATTTTTATTTTGTGTGTATGAGTGTATTACCTGCATATATGTAAATGTACCCATGTCATGCAATACCCGTGGAGGTCAGAAGAGGATGTTGGATGCCCTGGAACTGGAGTTACAAACGGTTGTGGGTGCACCCATGTGGGTGCTGGGACTCTAATCTGGGTCCTCTGCAAGAGCAGCCAGTGAGTGCTCGTAACTGCTGAGCCATCTCTCCAGTCCCCACCTTTCTATCACTCTTACTATGTCTGTGCTTCATTGTCTTATCCTGTAAATTATTAAAATGCTGCTACTGAATGTACATGTTGTGTATCTTTTCTTATCTGTGGCTCTAGAATGAGAACAAATGAGAATTTAGGCCCTGAAAGACAAGTTGGTTTCAGTGTCCCACAGGTAGGAAATGGCACAGCTAGGAGGAGAAGCCACAGTTTTTACTCCAAACCCTGTTCTTTCTACACCTAAACTATCTCATCTGTAACACAGGACCCTGCCAGCTTACTTGCTAGGACTGTTGTCAGAAGAAAATGGAATATCTAATGCCACATTCCTTTTGGCCCTTACAGTTTTATCATTAAAGAGCTGGAGAGATGGCTCAGTGTTTAAGAACACTGGCTGCTCTTAAAGAGGATGTGGGTTCAGTTCCTAGCACCCACATGGTGGCTAATAACCACCCATAACTTCTGTTCCAGGGGATCTCATGCCTTCTGGCCTCTGTGGGCATTGTATGCATGAAGTGCCCTTATATACATGCAGGCAAAACACTCATGCAAATAAATAAATAAATAAATATTTTTAAAAAGACTGGTCTTAAATTCCAGCCCTGCTACTTGCTAGTTTTGGACCTTGGGTAAATAATTTCTCCATCATCAGTTTATCACCTTTCAAATGCATGTAACTGTATCAGCTTTGTATAATCATGAGGATTTTTTGTTGTTGTTGTTTTGATGCACGGTCTACTGTGTAGCCCTTGCTAGCCTGAAACTCCTTGTGTATACTAGGGCAGTCTGGTACTCACAGAGTCTGCCTCTGGCTCCCTGGTGCTAGGATTAAAGGTGTGTGGCACCTTCCCTGACCTAGTCCTGTAGATTTTGAAGTGTTTGTATGTGGTGAGTATTCAGATTGTCAGTGAATAGCAGTGTAAATGATTCTTATCTATTTTTGTTTTAGTTATGGTAAAGCTGAAATGCTGATTGTTCAAGGGGAACCAACTAAAGCCACTGAAAAGAATAAAGTTTAATTCATGGTAATTGCCTATACAGCAAGTTTGAGACCAGCCTGTATTACCAGGGAGACTGTCAAAAAAAAAAAAAAAAGCAACGAGAAGGACAAAAAATTGATTCTCAGTTGTATGGCATTGATTTTTGTTTTGTTTTGTTTTGCTTTTGTCTTTATAGGTTGCTATGGTGACAGACTATGGAGCCTTTGTCAAAATCCCCGGTTGTCGAAAGCAAGGTGGGAGCCCTTCATTTCACTCTTTTAACTATAACCTACCACATCCTAGCTGTAGGTTCTACGTTTTCAGACAGTTTTTTTGTTTATTGTATTTTATTTCTGGAATGCTGACAAGTAGGCACAGTTGCTTTGTGTGGGTTTCTCTTTTCTTTGGGTCTTTTTGAGACAGGGTCTTCCTATAGCCCCAGCTGGTCAGTAACTTGCTATAGAGATTAGCCTGACCTCAATCAAACAGAGATCTGCCCGCCTCTGCCTCCTGAGTACTGGGATTAAAGGTGTGTGCCACCATGCTGAGTACTTTGTCTGAGTGACTTCCCTGTTATGAGACAGTTCTTCTCTGATCATGTCTGTTAGTGCTCTAAAATTGCCTCTTGACTTTGGGTGTCCATTCTTTCTCTAGATGGGGATTTTCTGCTATAATTTCATTGAGTAAATCTCAATGCTTTAGTTTTATCTCAGTTTTTATCTTCTATCCTGAGTGTTCTTACGTTTTATCCCTTGATCAGATCCCAGAATTCATGAACATGATGGGCATACTCGTTTATTTTTCCCTTGTTGCCATTTGAGTGAAATATTTGATTCATTGAGGGTTTGGTTGTTTTTTTTTCCCCTCAAAACTCAGTTTCTTTGCTGAATTTTTCTTCCAGTAATTGATGGTTTCATTTATATTGTTGATTTTTCTCGTCCGTTTTGTTGACCTTACTTAGTGTTGCGGACATTGCTCTCCAGGCTTTGAACTGAACTGAATTCATCTGTTTCTTTCTAGCCTCTTTGAGTCATTGGTCAGTTTTACTGATGAACATTTGAAATCTTCACCCAGCATTTTAATTATCTCAGTGTCTGTGAGTTTAGTAGTTGGTTACAAGCTTTTGAAGGAGTCGTGTTGCCTTTATTTTTCCTATTTCTTGTATTTCTGTGAGGCACTTTGCAAATCTTTTTAAAAAAATATTTTATTATTTTTATTTTATGTGTATAAGGGTATTGCCTGCATGTATGTGAGTGCACCATGTCATGCAATGCCGTGGAGGTCAGAAGAGGGCTTCGGATTCCCCTG